TTATACTCCTCATTCATTGCTTCAATCCATTTTTCTGAATTGGAACTTTGTATAGCTTGACGAAAGTTGATAGGATCATCTTCCATCATACTATTATTTTCCTCATGTTCCTGAAGAAATACAATATAATCATCTGAAATAGTATTTCTCCTTTCCCTAGTGGATCGACGCAAAAGCACTTGTTCTTGAGCTTGTCCTTGAGGTTGTTGAATTTGTTCCTCAAGGGGTTGATTAACAATGTCTTGTTCTGGATTAGCAACTTGATCAATGACAGGAGTGAAATCCTGATCATTATCAAAAGCAATTATAAGAATAGGAACCAATTCCTCTTCAACAAGAGTAGTATGGTCTGATTCCTTCTTAAAGACAAAGTCTCTAACCTGATTTCTCCCCCCAAATTCAATATCCTCAAAGAACATTGCAGTTCCTGTCTCAAATATTATCTTTAATTTGGGATCATAAAACTTGTAACCCCTAGATCGCTCTGAATAACCAACAAAATAGCTGCTCACTGTTTTAGGTTCTAACGTTTTCTCATGTGGCTTGTAAGGCCTTGCCTCAGCTGGGCAACCCCAAACATGAAAATGCTTTAAACTAGGTTTTCGTCCTGTCCAAAGCTCATAAGATGTTTTTGCAGCTGCTTTAGTTGGTACTCTATTTAAAATATAGGTCGTTGTCTTAAGCGCTTCACCCCAGAGTGATTCTGGTAAGGTTGAATGACTGATCATACTTCTTACCATGTCTTTAAGAGTGCGATTTCGTCTTTCAGCTACACCATTCATGTTAGGTGACCCCGGCATTGTGTACTGAGGGACAATTCCACACTCCTCTAGGAATCTGGCAAATGGTCCCGGACGTTGTTCACCTGGACCGTCATATATGCTATAGTATTCACCACCACGATCAGATTTGACTTGCTTTATTGTTTTGCTTAGTTGGTTTTCAACTTCAGGCTTATATGATTTGAACACATCCAATACTTAGGACTTCTCATGAATAAGAAATATGTATGCATATCTTGAATAATCATCTATGAATGTATAGAAAACGGCTCACAAATATCTGTATGTATCAATTCTAAGACGCCTGTAGCTCTATATGCTCCTAATTTCTTTATTTTGGTCTGTTTTCCTTTAATGCAGTCAATACAAACATTAAAGTCCGTAAAATCAATGGAACTTAGAATTCCATCTGATACAAGTCTTTCAACTCTATTTCTAGAGATGTGACCTAAACGTTTGTGCCATAATGCTCCTGAATTTTTATTTTCAATTTTACGCTTAATACCACGTGATTCCACATTCAGAGTTTCATTATAAGAAGCAACAATATCAAGCAAATAAAGATTGTCATAAACCATAAGGGAACCAGTTCCAATAATATTGGAATCAATAGATAAACTGAAACAACTGTTTTGAAATGAACAACAATAACCCAATTTGTCCAAACAAGAAATAGAAACTAAATTCCGTCTAAATGACGGTACAACAAAAGTATTTATCAAATCCAAATAGTAACCAGTCCTTAATAACAATCTGAAATGCCCAATTGCTTCCACTTCTACCGATTTTCCATCTCCTACATAAATGCATCTTTCAGCATCATTTGGTTTTCGGTAGCTCAGGCAACCCTGCATTGAAACACTTATATTAGTAGTAGCACCAGAGTCTAACCACCAAGTGTTTCTTGGTACTGAAGCCAAATTTACCTCAGAACAGACCAAAGATAGAAATGTACCTTTCTTCGCACGCCAAGTGTGATATTTTGGACATTCCTTCTTCTGATGTCCTTCCTTATTGCAAAAGAAACAACCTCCATTTTCAGGATTTTGAGATTGAACTTTATTTTGTTTCTTTTGAGAAGGACCCTTATTTTTAGCAGCCTCATTCTTTCTTTTAGTGCCCCTTTCTTTAGAGGTGTTTACCAAATGAGCACTATCAGTCTTTCCATGCTTCAACCTTTCTTCCTCTTGCACACAATGCGAAATAAGCTCATTAAGAGTCCATTTCTCCTTTTGCATATTATAGCTGACCAAGAATTGGCCAAACTGTGGAGGAAGAGAAATAAGAACCAAATGCACGAGTAAATCATCCGGCAACTCGAGTTTTAGCAACTTCAGCTTTGAAGCAATGTTAGACATCTCAACGATGTACTCTCTTATACTTTCCTTGCCACTAAACCTCATTGAAATCAGTTTCTTTAAAAGAATACCAGTTTCAGTCTTATCGCTTTTTGCAAAGCGTTTCTCTATTTCAGCAAGGAAACTTGCAGCATCAGTGATCTCACTAGACACCGCACCTCTAAAAGCCTCAGGTATGCCGCGTTTGATGATCATAAGACTCAAGCGATTATAACGATCTCACTTCTCATAGATCCTCCTATCCTCGGAGGAACTAACATCCGTAAGAGGAGCGGGTTTTTCCATTCTTAACGCAAGGTCTAAATCCATGCAGCCAAGAACAATGTGAATGTTCTCTTTCCAATCCTTAAAGTTGTCGCCCTTAAGGATTGGAACCGAATTGAGATTAGCAGATACAGTAACAACAACTGAAAAATGAACAAAATGATTACATAAATAACATGTTCATAAAATAAAAATAATAATAATAAAAAAATAATACCAACAATGTCAAAAAATCCAAATAATGGTAAATCCCATCTCAAGACACTTAAAGCAACATTAATATCAAGTCTTTGGACAGTAATATTAACTGCAAGTGGTAATCTTGTTGTAATGATCAAACATTAACAATAATGGATGTCAAATAATAAATTTATCTTTGGGTCGATTTATTACTCACATATAATTCCTTATAATTGTTACTTGTTTACCATCACAAGTGTGTATGCAGTTCGGCCAAGTATTAATTTTCCTTTGAGCCAATCAATACACGCATGAACTCACACGCACACAACATCCAACATTCGTCACGAACTATCTACACAAGAGAGGTCACTTTGGCAACATCATGTTTCAATAAGCTCATTAAAAAATGATGGACAAATTAATAAAGTACCAATAATTCGAATTTAATTGAACATTTAATAATATTTTTTTTTAATTTTAATTTTAATTTTTTTTTAATACAGAAAACTACATGTCGTTTGTTTACGCCGCAGAAACGACATGTCGTTTCTGGTTGTCTTCAACCTCCAGACGGGTCAAACGACCCAGTTCAAATCCAAATCAAAACTCAACGGTTTCAAAGCCATTTTTACACCAAAAAGAAGCCTTCAAACCCCAAAGTTGTTAGAAATCTAATTTCTAGATGATTTCTAACTCTTATTTATACAACAAAAAAAATGATTCCGACGAATTTGATATATCAAACAGATCAAAAAACGAACAAACCAAACAATATATACAAGCCATCATTAATCGCAAATTTATGACTTCATAATCGGTGAACAATAATGGCTAAAGGCCAAAAAATCGAAAAGAAAAAAAATTTTCTCAAGAAAAAACTGAACGTGAATTAGCTCTGATACCAATTGATAGAACTAAAAAAATCACATTCAATTTTGAGAGAAATAAGCCATATATTAGCGGAAGCGTACCGGAATCCATTAGATCGATTGCACAAGATATGATCTTCCAATCTGCAGATTTTCCAGATTTTCCTTAGTTTCTTGTTGATGGGGTGCAAGAAAAGGATGTGTCTCTCTGCAAATTGGGGATCATCACTCTTTGAAGTAACTACCAGGCGGTTACAAAAAAGTTTTGCTTAATTCTAATTCTGCCTCTTATCAAATTAGAATTTGCACTTATGGTATCCACACTATAATATCATGACAAATGTGCCCAAAGTCATAAACTTAATTCTAAATTAGATCACAATAATTTTGACTTATTTAATGATGACCCAACACATTTATTAATTACATTGTAGTCCCAAATTTAATCCAACAAAAATTTCATATTTAAATGCATAATACTCAAGTTCTTAGTATTTTATTAAAAAATATCATTATTATTAACTTTTTAAAGGTAAAAGTAATTATTTATGCATAAATTTATAATATTGAAATGCTATAAATGTAAATTTAAAATTTTGGGCCGGTAAATATATAGGAATTGTGTGGTAATTGGGTATATGATTTAATTTGAAGTGTTGCTAAATTGTAAACATTTGGGGCCAAGATTTTCTTTTTCATTAATGATTTATACCATGAGTTCACGAAAATAAAAATTAAAAGGGAATTTACATATATATTCCACATAATTGTTATGTATTTACTACAATCATACTAAAATATATACATAAAAATAATTTTTTAAAATTTTAGAAATATAATTTAATAATATTTTAATGTCTTGTAAAAAATTGATTCTAATATATAAGAATTATTTGATATGTATTTAAAT